TGGTAGATTGATGCTCTTTCCTTGACACATTTATTCAATAGATATTATTGAGTCAATCAGTAAACCTAATCTTCTGTAGGTCAGGGACATACAGAGATAAATCAGACAAGGAACTCACAGAAAAGCTGGGGACAAAACACATGAACATCTGATTATATTCAAACATGCCGAGTATTACAAATAAAAGATTGATAACTTTGAGTACAATGGAACAAAAATGTTAAGACCCTTAAGGAGGCAACCAGATTACTTAGAACTGATGATGGAAAGCTCTTCTATGAATAGGTATTAAGTTATCTTCAAGTTATATTTCTAATGATATACTTCAGAAAGTTTGGGAAAGTTTGGCCGCTTTTGTACAGTTGTTTTTCTTTAACCAGGCAGACATTCAAGAAGAAACTTAAATTTCCTCCCACTGATAACTACTAGTAATTTTTAGAAGCATTTGAATATAGTAGTGTGTTTGAAATTTAGCTCAAAGATATTCATTAGAGTATTGTTTAATGTACTGAAAAGCCAGAAATATGCAAACTTAGGTTAAATATCTTAAGACACATGTGTACCATTGATCACCGTGCAACAATTGAGAGAAAAAAAAGAAGTTCTAAAAGGCTCAATGAGCTGAAAAGATGTTTATAATTTGACAAGTAGGAAAAAAATAATATTTCAAAATAACACAGGTATACCTGTTATAGGTTACCCTTAGGATTTCCTATGTGGGCATGAGACATCTGGCACTATCACATTATGATTTTCCCTATAGCTGTAGACAGATGTGACTAACAGATAATTATTAATAATCAAGTGTTTTTAAGTGAGGAATGCAAAAATATTGTCCCATTCCTTAAAAGCCAGCTATAAGTATGGCCCCAAAAGATCATGATCAGGGCCAGGAATAGGGTAAGAGGAGAGAACCCTCGCCTTGTGCACAAAATTTAAGGAATGACCAAAAACAAAATAATCAAGATAAATACTATGTCAAGGGACCAGGCAAAATGGCATAAGTGGTAGAGGCTCTGTTCACCCTATCTTTTTACCACATCAAAGTTGTGACAGAAACACAGAGCAAACAGCAGGCAGAGTCGCCTGGGGTCTGGATGAAGAGAAGCCCAATAGCTAGGGAGATAAATAAGAAATCACCCTGCAACACTTGGAGGTAGGAGGGGGTGAAGATGCAAGGCTGCTTGGTCCAGAGTGGCTGAGTGGGACAGAGGCTGCCGCAGCTGCAGATGCCTCTTAAAGGGGCTGTATCCACAATCAGATCTTCGTGGTGACAGATCTGCTCACTCTGAGTACCGGCACCGGGTCAGCTGCTCAGGGGGCACCAGGGACTTACAGGGGGACACTGAGTTGTTGGAGTGAGGGCCAGAGGCAAGGCATTCTTCCAGGCAGAAGTGATAAATATGTGAGGGAGAAGAAGGTACTACGTTTAGCAGGGTGATCACTTTGTGAGTTATATAAATCTCCAATCACTATGCTGTATAACAAACTAATATATTATCATCACCAACTATGTTTTAAAAATTATTGAATTGTACAATGTAAATATGAGCAACTAATTATCTATTATATTTTAATAAAGCTGTAAAAAAATTTTAAAGATAAATACTATGTCAATGCAACATTTTAAAAAATCAAATTCAATGCAAAAAAAGCCATGATAAGTAAAATATCCAAATCCAAGGTCTAATGGTATCATGCCAGGTCATAATGGAATTGACAATCATTTTCTCAATATATATATTTTTTGTTTTTGTTTTTTTTTATTTACTTATTTTAATTTATTTTTATTATGGTGACATTGGTTAACAAACTCCAGTAAGTTTCAGGTGTACAATTCAACAGTAAGGCATATAGACATTGCATTGTGTGTTCACCACCCATAAGATTTCTTTCTGTCACCACATATTTGACCCCCTTTACCCCATTTCCTCCCATCTCCCACCTCCCCCCTACCCTCTGGTAACCACTAGTCTATTGTCCATGTCCATGAGTCTCTGTTTGTTTGTCTTATTTGTTTGTTGCTTTTAGGTTTATATCCCACACATAAGTGATACCATGTGGGTTTCAACTTTTTCTGTCTGGCTTATTTTGCTTAGCATGATTATCTCAAGGCTCATCCACACTGTCACAAATGGCAGTATTTCATTTCATCTTATGGTTGAGTAATATTTCATTGTATATATGTGCCACAGTTTCTTTATCCAATCATCTATTGTAGAATGCTTGAGTTGCTTCCATGTCCTGGCCACCGCGAATAATGCTGCTATGAACATTAGTGTGCGAATACCTTTTCGGATATATATTTTCAAGTCTTTGGGGTAAATACCCAGTAGAGAGATTGCTGGATCATACGGTAGATCAATTCTCAGTATATCTTAAATGGTTAATTTTTTTCTAGAAGTTGATTTTGAAAATATTATTGATGAGTTTGCTTCCATTCAAACCAAGAAAGTCAAATTTTAATAAATTCTGGGCTAAGGACAAGTAAAATATTTAAATTTAAAATAAGATTTTAAGTTCTAATATTTTTGTTTTCAATTTTTCAATTTTTTTCCAAATATTGTAACATTCGGGAGAAGCACATTGTAGAGAGTTGATAAATACCTCTTGAGAGAATGGATGTGGTTTTTTTGGACACCATAAATTATTTGGATTATAAAAGGCAAAATCATTTCACTAGATATGTGGAATTTGAGAACCATGCAGTTTTTATTCTGAGTGTCTTTTCTTCCTCTAGTGAAGACATGTGGGACCATGGAGGTAAAGGAACTCACCAAGTATAGCTTGATGTTATAGTAAGAAAAATTCCTATTGTAGAGGTCACAACTTCATCCACTTACCTTAGAAATATAGGGTTCCTTAAGGCAATTGTATTTTAGACCAACATGTAACATGTTTAGAGACAAAGCCTTGTGCCAGTCTTCTGTCAGAAGGAACTTTATTCAAGCGTTACAGATTTATAGATCCTGAAAGCTGAGAAGTGAAGAGTCAACACTTCTCTGTACACTCCAAATTATTGCAATCAAATGCAAAATGTTGACAATCCATTGGTCACTGTATCAGTTAGCAACTGCCACAAAAAAAATGCTTCATAGCAAACCACTCCTGAAATTCAGTGCCTTAAAATAATAATACTTGATTGTTGATCCAGGGTCCATGGGTTGGCTGGGCAGGTGCTGATCTTGGCTTGGCTCACTCATGTGACTGCAGTCAGCTATAAGTTGGTTTGGTGGCTGGTTAAGTACAGTATCAGCTACTATAATGGGACAGCTTAGCTCTCCTCCATTCATTTCTCAAATCCCTCTAGCAGATTAGCCTAGGTGTGTTCTCATGGTGGAGACAGGGGTACAAGAGCAAGTAAGAACAATCATGTACAAAACAAAAAGGAATACACACCCAATTCTGGAACTTCTATCTTTGAGTCATGTTTACTAGCAATCCATTGGCCAGAGCAAGTCTCAAGGCCAAGCCAGAGTCAGAACAAGAATGAGTTACAAAGTTACAGAGAAAGGGGTGTGGAGAGATGGAGACCATTCTTGAGGCCACTGATGTAATCGACATACCACAATTGCCTATGAGTAAAAGACATGCCATTTCTTGCTTCAATATCCCTTAAAACTGTCACCGCTGTACTGAACACTCCAGACAAGCCAAGCATTGAAGACCAACAGATCATAAATAAACTTTTATGTCAGTTTCCCTCTCAAGCTGTGGCTGCCACAAATAACAAAGGCCAAGCCTCCATCAGCCAACTTCCATGTATTATAAAATTGTCCAACACATGACCATTATGGAACTAAATGAAACCTAAGTGGTAATTTGACTCAAAGTAAATAATTAGTCTTTTCTCTGCATCCCCAAACTAAAAATTTCTGGAGTCAAAGGAAGAGAAGGAGAGGAACAAGGGGTCTGGAAGAGGAGATCCATGGTTAAAAGCTCAAAATCCAGCTCAGCCACCTACAGCTGTGTGATGCTTAGGAAGTTACTTAACCTCTCTGAGTCTCAGTGTTTTCTGTCTTTAAAATAAAAAGTAATCATTCATTCACTCTTTCATTCAACATATTTATGGATAATCTACTAAATACAATTCTCTGTACATATGGAGCTTACAGTCTAAGTTGGAGACACCCAAGAAAAAGAGGAATTATAATGTAGGGCTAGAGAGCATGAAGCCTTAAGGGACTCGCAGAAGTGACATCTAATCCTACTTTGGGAGAGTCAAAGAATGCTTCCTGGTGGAAGCAATGACTAAGCTGAGACACAAAGAATGGGTAGAAATTGGTTTGGATTTTCAGGAAAGGTATCCTACAAAGAGGGAATGGCAGGTACAAATCCCAAACTCAAAATGTTTCCTTTCTGGTTTTGGGCTATCAGATGAGTTGGGCTATCAGAATGGCAAACAGAAGAATATTCTAGACTATTCTAGAACATTCATTCACAGGTACAACATAATTTCCCTAGCTCTCATTAAAATTCAAGTTCTGGTTCAGTAGGTCTGGGGTGGGACCCAAGATCCTGCTTTTCTAACAAAGTGATACTGATAATTCTGATCCACAAACCACACTCTGAGTAGGGAGGTATTATAGTAGCCATGGAAGGGAGGATATCTGCATTCTAAATTTCCATGTCCTCTTCCTGGCACTCAAGATTTTATGGGGAGTAGAAAGCAAGGCAGAATGGCAATAACTTTGTCAGTAGGACAAATCTTAGTCAAGTCATAAAATAGTTTCTGGAACGAAGGAAGATGTTTTCTTTGAAAGTTCCCAGAAAATCCAGACAATTTCCAAAGGCTTTTGTCATTAAGTGCTTCAACCCTCCATGAAACACTAGAGTTCTGCTCCACTAACCACCCTACTTACAAACAGCTCTCAAGCATTTGTGCCCAAGTAGCCTATATGTCTAAGTGCTTTATTTCCCCCACTGGGGCTGTCATTAGTTTTACTGACCATTTTTTTTTTTAAAGCAAGAGAAGTTTTTGTTGAAGGGTAAGCCAGTCAGTCAGATGACACATTATTTACTGAGTGTTGCTATATCAGGTACATAACAGGCACTGGAGAGGCATGCCTAGAGACATGTACCAATAAATTCAGGAAAAAAACAAAATGGTAGCCAGGTTATCTTGCACATGCCATTGCACCAAGATCTGTTATTTTCACAAAACTCTGGAAAGTCAGAGTTGTAAAACATGGAAGATGAAATAGTCATCTAGAAAAAAATTCTTGTTTCTCCCCAGTGCACAAAACCATGAGAAGACTGCCTTTCCCATCCATGCTCCAAATTGCCCAGAGAGTTCTGGGGCTAGTGGGATCCTGTATTTCCACATTAAGCCAGAAAGAGAAGAATTCACTGTAGGCTCCTGCAAGCACCTGCTTGCCTTGAATGTTGCTCCATAGCATATTTGAAAAGCAAGAAAGGGCTTTAACCCTGTGAGAGAGAAATCAGAATCAGCAGCAGTATTGGTACAAATATGATTACAGGGGTCATATCTATAAGGGGCATGGGTCTTATAAATATATAGAGAGATAAATATGGCAACAAATACTACAAAAATAAACATTAAAATATTAAGAGTGATTATCCCTACTGTGGCAGGCACCATTGGCAAATTCAAGAGCCATTCTCAACCCCTTTACCAATGATAGCTCCTGCTCTAGAAGCTAAAAGCTTGATTTGTCAAATTCTTATGTAACTATGAGTGGTCACATGGTGTGGTTCTGACCAAATCTGCTGAGGGGTTTCTGGGAAGTTTTGTTTCCTATTAAAGGGAGAAGATTGAAAGGACAGGCTGCTGCTTCTGCCCCATCTCTCTTCTTCTGTTCTTGAACATGATTGCAATGGCTGGAGCTATGGCAGCCATTTGTAACCATGAAAATAATTTGATGAAAAGTCAAAGTGCTGCTAAGGAAATGAAAAATTAGGGAACATCTATATTCTTTACAATAACACTGAGCAAGAAAACCACTATCAGCAAACTAACTCTGGGGTTCTGTTCTTACAAGGAAAACAATTCTTTATTTAATTAAGCGGCTGGATCTTGGTTACTTATGCTTTGAATATATCAGTGAAAAACTAAGACAGTCTAGTGGGAGATGGAAGACCATGAATAATAAAATAAATAAGAAAGTTATAGTATGTTAAAAAGTGGAAAGTGCTATGAACACAAAGTCAAGACAAGGGGGCAGGGTGGCAGAAGAGGAGGCAGTACAAAATAAAGTTGTTTGAGGAACTCCATCAATAAGAAATGACTAGAACAAAGATTTTAAGGAAGTGAGGAAAGTGGGGGATTGGCCACATGAGTATCAAGACAAGAACATTCAAGACAGAGTGAGCTTCCAGCCCAAAGTTTCTAAGGATGAGGTGAGCCTGGCGTGTTTGAAGAATACTGAGCACGCTATGTGGGTGGAGCTGAGTGAAGTGAGGAGGTGGGGTAGATTAACAGAAGACGAGGTCAGGGAGAAAAAGAGAGTCAGATCAGACAGGGCTTTGGGGCCATCAGGAGGACTTCGGCTTTTACTCTGAGTAAGGTGAGAGCCACAGAGTATTGTAGGCAGAGAAGAGAGGCAACCCTACTCAGGTGCTCACTGATGCCCTCTGGCTGCTGCAGGGAGAACAGACCAAAGGAGGGGAAGGGAAAAGACAAGAGGGGAAGCAGGGAGACCCCTTATGAAGCTATTTCCATATCCTGTCTAAAAACAATAGGACTTGAACCAGAATAGAAGCGGTAAAGGAAAAGAGAAGTGGTAAGATTCTGGATACATTTTGAGTAAGAGTCAACAGGATTTACTGATGGGTTGGAGTTGATGGGTGAAAAGAAAAGGATAACTCCACAGCTTCATGCTGAACAACAGAAGATAGAGGGCCCTCCCTGGAAATGGGAAGTGGGGGGATCAGAAGCTCAGTTTGGAACATGTTAAATGTGTGACATCTACTAGACATTTGAGTAGAGGCATTTGGTAGGTGGTTAGTTATATAAGTCTAGAATTCAGGAGAGGAGGCTGGACTGCACATTATTTTAAATTTGGGGGTCTCTGATAAAAAAAGCATTTAGAGCCATGAGACTAGATGAGATCCATTGTGTAGAGAAAAATGTGTACTTCAGTGAAAAACAATGCATTCTTACAGGACATCCCTATCTATGTGAGAGCTATTTTACAACTGTAAATTTTAAATAACTGACTGCAATGTAAAATATTCTGTGGAAAAACCAGTTTTACCTCCATTCACACATTAATTTAAATATTTCTGAAATTATATATGTATTATAATTCATATATACATGTAATACATATAATATACATGAAATTATATATCATTTTATGTATATTTATAACTATATGTATAATTCTATAACATATAATTGTGTCATATTATATATTATATATAATTATCAGTTAATACATATATAATGTATAATACACATATAATGTATACTATATATAATATATACATAATATATATTATGTAATACACATATATGTCTGTACTTTCTCTTTTGAGCCAGTTATAACATCTGCCTGGTTCCCTCACTGATTAGTGAATAGAATAAGGTCCTATATCTGTATAAGCTGTGATTTTGTTTTTTAGGTCACATAGCTAAGGAGGGACAGAGCTGGGATTTAAACCTAGGCAGCCTGACTCCTGAACCCCACACTTTATCAAATGAGCTAATGCACATGGACATGCTTAGCTCACAGTAGGTACTCAACACACAGTAGTACTTAGAATTGATAAGAAGCAGGCATTTCATTCAATCAGAACCTGCATCAAATATGCAGTCTCTCACCATTTTGGAAGTGGAGGGGATTGATGACAGCAAGATCCCTGAGGTCTGGGACTGGGAGCTGGGTTTGGTCTTTCTGGTGATCCACCTCCTGTATTCTTCACGTACCTGGAGGTGGAGACAATTTGGGGAGACGAGTAACTCCCAGATGCAGGAAATGTGCTTCACAGGCATGTCCCCTGGAAGGAGAGGGAGTTGGGGATAGGCAGGGCAAAAGCTTTGTACCTGGCGGTTGAGCAGACAATGAATAAAAAAGATGAAGGCCCCCTGCAGGCTGTTGATGACAGTGAACAGGTAGGCCATGACTTTAGCCATAGGTCCAATCTGGAAAATGCCCAATACCCAGGAGCACCCCAAGACGAAGAGTTGGGCAAAGGCTTTGAATGTCAGCAATCTAGGGAAGAAGATTTGCAGAAGATAAGGTACTGGGAAGTGGCTATTATCCCTGTGGGCCATACTACCAGGAATGGTCTGAGGAAGCCACCCTGTGACCTGCCAATGGATGGGAATAAACACGGAGCAGAGTTTCCAAGCCTAGAGATGAGGAGATCAACTTCTACAAGCATTTAAAAAGCAGTGTATCTACAGATACACATGGGCACAAGAAATGTGTGTTTAATGCAATATTGTCTATAGTAATTAAAAGCTAGAAGGGTCCACCTTCCATGAATTGCTGACACGTTCAGTAACTATGAAATACTTAGGCCTTTTTTTGAGGTAACACTCAAAAAAATTACCATTTTAACCATTTAAAGCGTGTGATTTAGTGGTATTTAGCATGTTCACCGTCTTATACAAACATCACCAGTATCTAGTTCCAAGAGATTTTTATCACTCCCAAAAGAAAACCCCATATCTATTAAGCAGTCATTCTCCATTCCCCTCCCCCAGCTAGAAACAACCCAAATGTCCATCGACAGGTGAATAGAAAACAAAATATGGTCCCCACCATGCAACAGAATATTATTCAACCACAAAAGAAGTGAAGCACTGACACACACTACAAAATGGATGAACCTTGAAAACATGATGCTCAGTGAAAGAAAACAGTCACAAAAAGACCCACAGTGTGTGATTCCATTTATCTGAAATACCTAGAATAGGCAAAATCATAAAATCATTTCTTAAAATGAGATGAGAGTGACAATATACTACAGTGAATAATGGTTGAGGCTCTGAACCGGACTGTCTGCAAATAAATTCTGACTTTTCCATTCATTAACTTGTGACCAGTGGATCCTTCTACCAAGAAGGGCTCCTGGTGGCTGATGGGGCTCAACTTTAAAAGCAGAGCCTAGAGGCCATTTCCACACTCAGGGAGAAGCCTACACTGACTGCCTGCCTGCACTGTGTTCCTGTCATCTTATCTGGCCCTCTTAAAGGAGTTCCTGGAATTGGATTTCAACAAGTAGGATCAAGGCTTTCCCCCATCCAATCAGAGCTACACAGCTATATCCCAGCATCTTCACTGACCAGTCAGAGCAGCTCCATTCTGACCAATCAGGACAGTGCCTTTTGGACCAATCGAACTGTGAGGATTTGGAGACTTCTCTCTATATAAGTCAGCTTACCACTGGCTCCAGGAATGCACTTTCCTTTTCCACTGAAGATTGTGTTTCCCTGGCTGGAACTGAAACACTGAAGATAAAACCAAAACATCTTGCAAACGAGTGAAGCAGACCAGCACAGACCAGCGGGTGCAGCACAACACTGAGCTGTCTAGCTAGAGAGGTGCATAAAGCCAGGGCCCCCTCACAGCCATGCTGTTCTCACAGCTGTGCTATATCACAATTGAGCTATTTACACTGAATAAAGTTTCCTTCTTCACAGCACTCCAAATTAGGGATTCCTGTTGGCATTGAATTAGCACCCAGGACCATCCTTTGGCAAGTCTTAGTAAGTTACTTAACCTCGCTGTGCTGCAGTTTCCTCAAATTGAACTTCAAATTGATACAGAGATAATAATATGGTAGCTACACAGTGGTATTGCTTATTCTACAGATTAAATAATGAGATGGCAAGATCCTAAAAGTACTTAGACCAGTATCTGACACAAAAAAAATAAGCTTTTTGTTAGTAGTTTTTAACCTTAAGTATTGATATGAAATGAAAAAACAAAATGTAGAATGATATGTAAAATATCCTATCATCTTTGTAAAAGGAGGTAGATATGTCAGAATAGGATATTCTGGAAGAAAGCTCAATTCAAGTGATAATGGTTGCTTAAGGTGGGAGAGACCTGGGGACCTGAAGGACAGGGGACATGGAAGAGAAAGAGAATTATTTTTCAAGTGTTCCCTTTGACTCTGCTTAGTTTTTCTTACCATTGAATGTATTAACTTTTGCATTAATATTTTAAAATAAATTTTAGGAAAAAATATTTAAGATTAATGAGAGATTAGACACTGAGAGGAAAACAAGCAAAAGACATCATCAGGTTACTGACAACAAATCCTACACAATATCTGGTATGGGTAGGTCCTTAAACATTAGCTGAGTGATGGTCTGATAATGGGGGAAAAGGTACAATGGAAACTTGCTAAGAGAGTCACTTAAAATAGAGTCAGGAGGCTGTTAGGGAAGTGGGGCCTCTGCACATCTCATGCCTGTACTCAGAGCTCCTGTTACAAAACTCAGCTCAAGGCTGAGCCATAAACATCCTGAAACAACTGCTACTTGGATACTTGTGGACCTGACCGCCTCCTTGTAGTTTTTGCCTCCCTTGTTTGCATATTAGAACTAATTAAACCCTGTTAACCTGGCCAGCAATCCTTCATTTCTATGAAAAAATAGAACCTTTTTGGTTGCCTTTGTAAAGGCAAAACCCTGCCTTTGTTATCTCTGCAGCACAGTTCAAGTTTTCCCCTGAATCTGTGTCTTCCAGATTCAAATCTGGAATACACTTTTAGATTGTTTTACAGCCTCATATCTTTATTGGTCGACAGGTCTATAAGAATATAAAAAAAAAGCCCCACATCTGTAAGATAATATATATAAAACTAATGAAAGTATATTTCACCCATCAAATCTGCAAAAACAACACAACAGAAATGATAAACCCCAGTGCTGGCACAGCTGCAGGTAAACAAGCACTCTTATAACTGGAAACGAACTTTCTGGAAAACCATTTGAAATATATACTAAAAGTGTTACCTATCCAACCTATCCTTTAATTTGGGCAATTTCATGCCTATTGTGAAATACCCCCAGATGTGGAAAACTATCTAACGGGACATTCAAAACAACTTAAATAGCCATAAATAAGGGATGATTTAAGTTGTGCTACATCCTTATATTGAAATCCTATGCAAAAAAAAAAAAAGATTGTTGATGAATTTCTAATTAAATAAAAAAATTATTCATGACATATTAGAGAAAAATGGTAATAAAAGTAAAATAGATCATATGTTTCTTCTTTTGTAAATATGCACACATACATGTGCACAGAAGAACTGAAAAATGTATTAACATGTTCAGTATATGAAATTCTCTGCACTAAATGCTTCACAAGCCACATGAAATGAACAATATTAATATCCCCATTCTACAGATGAGGAAACTGAATTTCAGCGAGGCTATGTAACTTGCCTAAGGTCATACAGCTTGGAAGTGGCAGAGCTGCGTTTGAGCTCCCAGATGTAGACACTGTGTTGTTCTGTCTGGGGCACAGGACCAGGCATATAAAAGGTACTCAGTGAACATTTGTGGGAAGAAGGAAGGGAGATTGGAAGAGGAGAGAAAACGGAGAAGGGGGTGCACCTGGTGTCTTTGAGAGTTGAGACTTCAGCATTGACACTGGAAAGTTTCTGCCTCAGGATCCATAATGTCCAAGTCAGGAGAATGAAATTGATCTACAAAATAAAGCAGAAAGGATTGAGAGATTGGATATACAAACTATTAAGAGAAAACATAAAATGAAACAAGGCTCACTAAGAAAGCCACTTAAAATAGAGTCAAGAGGCTATTAAGGAAGTGGAGCCTCTATATATTTTGTGCGTCAGTGCTCAGAGCTGCTATTAAGCTGCTAACCTGTTGCTAAACTCAGCTCAAGGCTGAGCCATAAACACCTTGGAATAATTGCTACATGGACACTTGTGGACTTCACCTCCTCATAGTTTTCACCTCCCTTGACTGCATATGGGAACTAATCAAGCCCCGTTAACCTAGCCAGCAACCTTCATTTACAGGAAAGAATTATACTTCGTAGATTTTTCCTTTACAAACCCTGCCATGCCTTGTTCTCCCCTGGACCACAACTCAGGTTGCTACATGAATCTGTCTCCTAGGATGCAGGTCCTTTTGCCCTAATAAATGTTTTACTACAGTCTAAAATTAATTTTGTTTGGCAAAACTGATAATGGCCAAACTATCTTTAAAAATAGAACTCTGAGAGTTTTCTGGTCAAGATGGTGACGTAGGTAAATGCTGTGCTTGCCTCCTTGCACAACTACATTAAAATTACAACTATAAAAAGAACAATAATCATTGGTAGTTGCCTGAAGTCTAGCTGGACTGAAGTCCTACAACTAGGGCAGACAGAGGAAGTCACCTTGAGATTGGTAGGAGGGACAGAGATGTGGAATGGTTGAGAATCGGGAGGAATATTTTGGCTGCGAAGGTTCCCCCTGAGGAGCAAGGGGTTCCATCCCTATATCAGGCTCCCCAGCCCAGGGTCCCAATGTCAGGAAGAGAAATCCCCATGATTTCTGGCTGTGAAACCAGTGGAGATTATGATTGAGTGAGATGAAGGGCAGCCAGAGTTGCAGACTTTCCTCTTAAAGGTCTGCTTGGACTTACTAGATGCTGAATTCCCTCACTCTGAGCTCCACCACTGGGGCAATGCCTCAAAAAGTGTGAGGGACATACAGAGAGGAACTGAATGGTCTAGCTTCAAGGCGAGGGCAGGAAGGGCAGCTTTCTCCAGGATAGAAGCACTGGCAGAAGCCATTTTTCCTGTGTTGAGCCTTCTCCTCTCCCAGCATGCAGACCCAGGTAGCCACCATATCTGAGTCTCTGTCAACCTAGTTAATACCTTTCTCCTCACCCTGGTGATTCCCCGCGACCCTGCCCCACCCAACTTGTAGGCCCAAGCCACTTCCATTGGATTTGCTATACAAACACTCTGTCTTGGCTCATGCTGCAGACTTTCCTAAAAGCTCTCAAAGGTTTGCAAAACCCAAACAAGCAGCATCTGGCCTCAGCGTGCCCCATATCTCTTTCTGAGTATCCTCAAGCCAAGTACTAGCAGCAGCCAGCCTTGATTTACAGCTACACTTCTTAAAGCACTTCCAAGCCCAGCATGGGTGGCGGCCATCTGCAGATTGCTTAGTGACTCTTGCCAGGTGGCTCCAAGCAGGACACAGGCTTCAACAAAACTTGGCCTGTGGCAGGGCCCCTCTCAGGAGTCCCCAGGGCTGGCACTATTGGTGGCCAGCTTTGGACATAGTAGGAGCACCAAATGGGGCTGCGTCCACTGGGAAGGTACCAGAGCCCTGCTAAAGTGAATCTTGCTGTGTAGGCTCAACCCCTCACCAGCCAGTCCTCACAACCAGTCAGCCCAAGGGCCAGTCCCTCTCATTGATGTGCAAAGAACAACCAAGACTCAACAACAATAGATACAGACACACACAATACATACAGGGGACATAACTGGAGAACCCAGTTCAAGTGACCAGCGAGACAGCACCACTGGGCCCCACAAGACATTTACTATACAAGGCCAAGACTAGGAGACAGGGCAGCCCTACCTAATACATAGAAACAAATACAGGTATGCAGCCAAAATGGTAAGGCAAAGAAACATGTCCCAAATGAAAGAACAGAACAAAGCTCTAGAAAAAGAATAAACAAAATGGAGACAAGCAGTCTACTGGATGCAGAATTCAAAATCACTTACTATAAAAATGCTCAATGAACTCAGGGGAAGAGTAGATGAACTCAGTGAGAATTTTAACAAAGAGATAGAAAACAAAAAAGAGCCATTCAGATTAAGAATACAGTGACTGAAATGAAGAATACCTTAGGAGGAACCAACAGTAAATGAGATGAAGCGGAGGATTGAATCAGTGATTTAGAAGATAAAGTAGCAGAAAATACCCAATGAGAACAGCAACGAGAAAAAAGAATCCAAAAAAATGAGGAGAGTTTTAGGGGCCTCCGAGACAACATCAAAGCATACCAACATTTGCACCATAGGGGTACCAGAAGAAGAGAGAGCAAGGAATTGAAAACCTATTTCAAAAAATAATGATGTAAAACTCCCTATCCTAGCAAAAGAAATAGACATACAAACCCAGGAAGCACAGAGAGTCTCAAACAAGATGAACCCAAAGAAGCCCACATCAAGACATATCATAATTAAAATGCCAAAGGTTAAAAACAAAGAGAGAATCTAGCAGCACTAGAAAAGCAGTTAGTTGCCCACAAGGGAGCTCCCATAAGACTGTCAGTTGATCTCTCAACAGAAACTTTTCAGGCCAGAAGGGATTGGCAGGAAATATTCAAAGTGATGAAAAGTAAGGACCTACAACCAAAATTACTCTACCCAGCAAAGCTATCATTTAGAATTGAAAGAGGGATAAAGAGCTTCAGAGACAAGGAAAAGCTAAAGGAATTCATCAACATTGAACCAATATTACAAGAAATGTTAGAGGGACTTTGGAGAAGGAGAAGTAGAAGAAAAGATTAAAAATGTGAACAATAAAATGACAATAACTACGTATCTATCAACAATTACTTTAAATATAAATGAAATAAATGTTGTGCTCAAAAGATTGGGTGGCTGAATGGATAAGGAAGCAAAACCCTTACATGTGCTGCCTACAAGAGACTCATTTCAGATTGAAAGACACACACAGACTGAAAGTAAAGGGATGAAAAAAGATACTTCATGAAAATGAAAACAAAACAAAACAAAAAAGCTATGGTAGGAATGAATACTTATACCAGACAAAATAAAACAAAGGCTTTAACAAGAGACAAAGAAGGACCCAGCAATCCAACTTCTGCCTATTTACCCAAACAAACCCAAAACAGTACTCCAGAAGGACATGTACATCCATATATTCATTGCAGCATTATTTACAATAGTCAAAATATGAGGGTATCCAGAGTGTCCATCAATGAATGAATGGATAAAAAAAGAGGTGGCACATATATACAATGGAATATGACTCAGCCATAAGAAAAGAATGAAATATTGCCATCCGCAACAACATGGATAGACCTAGAGGGTATTCTGCTGAGTGGAGTAAGTCAAACAGAGAAAGAGAAATGCCATATGATTTCACTTACATGTGGAATCTAAGGAATAAAATAAATGAGCAAACAAAACAGAAATTTATAGATACAGATAACATTTTGACAATTGCCAAATGAGAGGGAGGTTGGGGAGGTGGGTGAAAGATGGGAAGGGATTAAGAAGTACAAATTGGTTAGTTACAAAATAGTCATGGGGATGTAAAGTATAACATAAGGAATATAGTCAATAATATTGTAATAACTATGTAAGGTGTCAGATGGGTACTAGATTAATCGGGGTGATCAAGTTATATAAATGTCTAATTGCTATGTTATACACCCAAAACTAATGTAATATTGTATGTCAACTATAATTGAAGTCTTTTAATTATTTAAAAATTAATTAATTAATTAAAAACCGAACTCTGACCCATAGTGTTCAGTAACCAGTCCAGGGACCGTAACAATAACTCCTGTAGCAACCCAAAACGACACTTGATTAATAATTGATAGCCTCCCTAATGTGTGCCCCTGATTCCAACTTAGGACCAAAAGGAGAAAGCCAGTATATAACCTTAACCAATCACGCAGGGTGTCCTGCTTTTAGTTAGTCCACTTTTAGGGTCCCCATGCCTACAGCCTCCAAACAGTGCACTCCCAAAGCTTCCCTTTATTCCTCTATAAAGCTTTCCTATTCCTATGCCTGCTATTGCGTCTCTAACAAATGCAAGTGATGGTAGCTGGCTCCCTTATTATAGCAATCTCTGAATAAATAGCCTTTGCTTGTTCTCATTTGAGTGATCTTCATTGATTTCCACTGGGTGGACCTGGGAAGTTAGAATCAATATCAGTGTCCTGTTATGGGTTGATTCATGTCCCCCAAAATAATATTTTGAAGTCTCAACCCCCAGGACCTTAGTGTGACCTTATTTGGAGATCAGGTCTTTCCAGAGGTTACTAATTAAAATGAGGTTATTAGAGTGGGACCTTATCCATATGACTGCTGTGTTTATAAAACAGGGGAATTTGGACATAGGAACAGATGTGCACAGAGGGAAGATGTTGCAAAGAGACACAGGGAGAAGATAGACCTCTGCAAGCTAACTAATGCCTGAGGCTACCAGCAGTTGAAGAGAAGACTGGAGCAGAGCCTTCCCTAAGATGTTCAGAGGGAGTCTGGCCCTGCCAATCCCTTAATTTCAAATGTCTAGACTCCAAAACTGAAGTAATAAAATTCTGTTGTTCTAAGCTACCCAGTTTGTGATACTTGTTCTAGCAGCCCCCTGGGATACTAATACATGGCCCCAAAAAATCTGATAGAGGTCAGAGCAAAATCCTCTGAAGGAATACAACCACAAGAAGTCCTGAGATTTAGATCTGTCACATACGAGCTCACAATAAACAATTACAAGTGGCACAAGGAAACAAGCCACAATGAGAGAGAGTCAGAAGAAACATTATCTTGCGGGACTATAGAATCTGGATTGGGGACAAGGAGGCGTGAAGCTTCCCAGAGAATAGACTAGCGGTAGGTCGCCAGGGGCTGGGGGAGAGGACACGAGGGGATGCTGGTCTAAGGTTACAAAGTTTCACTTATGCACGATGAGGAAGTTCTGGAGAGCTAATGTAAAGTGTGGTGACTACAGTTAACAATACTATGTTGTATTTTTTTGAAATTTGCTAAACGGGTATATCTTAAGTGTTCTTACCTGCCATTTTCCATAGGGTAAATATTATGGTATTATACTAATGAAATAGATAGAAAAGGACAAGAACCATATGATTTTGCTCATGATCAAATTTAAAACAACAAGTAACGAACTAACAAATCAACAAAAATCAACTCTCACACACAGACAACAAAATGGTGGCTACTAGATGGGGAGGGTAAACTAGGTAAAGGAGGTCAAATATATGGTAACAGATGAAAAATATAGACTTTTGGTGGTGAGCACACAATAGAGTAAACAAATGTTGTATTATAATGTTGTACACTTGAAATTTATATGATGCTACTAACCAATGTTACCTCAATAAATTTAACTTTTAAAAAAATATGACTGTGTGAGGTGGTGGAGATGTTAATTAGCTTGATAATGGTGATCACTTCATAATGTAACATATATCAAAAGTTGTTCACCTTAAACGTATTTGTTTTTATTTGTCAATTATACCTCAATAAAGCTGAAAATAAACCCCTCTTTTCTCTCATTCAACATCTGTGCTCAGAAGAGGTTGATAGACCCATTCTTACTGAAACACAAAGGATGAAGAAAATTATAGTCCCTCCCAGGTGATTCACACGTTGCATTAAAAAAATCAAGAGTCAAAGAAATTACACTTGAACTTGGAAAACTCAAGAACCAAAGATCAGAAGGAAGAAGGTTTGAGAGGAATAAGTGACCTCAGCTCTGCAATTTCCACTGGCATTTCCTGATCCCTTAGATCAATTCTCTTCTCCAGAACCCATGACACCAAGCAATTTGCTTACCATTATGATTGTGCACACTGGCCCCAGGAAACTCCAGATGAACCCTGTCTCCGTGTTCAGCCAGCAGCTGTGGAATCAGAAGTCATTGTTTGTCTCAGAGTCTTGACCTTAGAGCTACTCCTGCACCATGAAATGCACTAATGCACAAGAACACTGGGAAAGGAGACTGAAATGAAAACGCTCATCATGGGACTGGTTGAATCTCAGTTTTCTCTGGACCCTAGCAAATCCTCTTTCTGACCTTATTCCTGGATAAGTGTTCCTGAGGATTCACTTAGTGCCCTGGGTAGAGCCCATGCTCAATTCATAACCTTCGTAATCCCTTTTCCCTCCTTCTCCACTGGCACACCTTGTCATTCAAATCTCAACTCAATGTTACCTCCTCAGAAAAGCCACTCCTGACTATCCCCAGCTATATATACTGTCCTTCATTTCTGGTCCCTTTTAGCAGAGCTTGCTGCCTTTTTTTTTTTTTTTATAGCGTCTATCGGTATCATAAAAATCTTGTTCAGTTGTTTGTTTACTGGCCAACTGCCCATCTTCCCCTACTAGATTATGAGCTGCATGAGAATTTGAACCTTGAACACTTTGCCATCACTGAATACCCAGCACTCAGTGTGAAGCCTGGCATGGTCAAGGCATTCCGTACTTATTTGTTAAAAGAAAGGCAGGGTCTTGCCATTTGCAACGACATAGATGGAAATTAAGGGCATTATGCTCTGTGAGATAAGTCAGACAGAGAAAGACAAATACTTCATGATCTCACTTATATGTGGAATCTTAAACAAAAAACAAGTTCATAAATACAGAGAATAAATAGATGAGTGGTTGCCAGAGGCGGAGGATGGGGGTAGGCGAAATAGGTAAAGGGAGTCAAAAGTTACAGACTTCCAGTACGTAAAATTAGTAAGTCCTGTGGATGTAATTATAGCATGACAACTACATATATATATGATATATATAACATATATATAATATATACATAATATATATTATATATTACATGTTATATATAATATATGTATATATTATTATATAATAATACTGTATTGCATATTTTAAAGTTGCTAAAAGAGTAAATCTTCAAAGTTGTCATCAAAAGGTAAAAATTCTGTAACTATGTGAGGTGATGGATGTTAATCAGACTTATTGTGGTGATCATTTCATAATATATATAAATATCGAATCATGATGTTGTATATCTGAAACTAACATAGCATTGTATGTCAGTTATACCACAATATAAATTTTTTTTTAATAAATATAAAAAAGGAAGGAAGGAAGGGTAGGAGAAAGGAAGGGAAAAAGGAAGACACTAGTGCCTCTTTCCATAACGCATCTAGTAGATATTTGCTGTTTTCACCACCCAGCAACCATTCCCCATATTCAATAATGGCACCCCAATATTCCTCTAGCAGTGTTCCTCCCTCCACAAAGAAAAGAAACTAATTAAGTTTTGTCAACCACATGTTCTCCCCCTAGCATGTGAGTCTACAGTAGTAGTGATAAGTGTCGGGAAAATGTTTGCAACATGAGAAGACACTGTCCCTACCTATTGGCCAATTCCCTATCATCAGCTGATTCTCTGCCTGGGGGCATCAGACTAAAAGTGCTGGAGAATTTGTTGTCCTGGCAGTGGCCCTCAGCCACTGGAGGGGAACGGGTGCCTTGCCGACCCCCTGGTGCCTTGGGCAAGACAGTGGCAGTGCACAATCTGCACGGCCTCCCGTTGGTACCCACGGTATTAAACCCCTATTGCCCATAGCAACTCCTGTTCATGAATGCTCCCTGTATTTGTTCCTCTCTTCCCTGTCTTCCCCACTACCTTCCTAGTGCTTCCTAAGATCATCTCAAATCCTTGTCAGTACTACTCCTCTCTTCTAAAACTTTCTGTTTCCCTCTGCCTAGAAGGTTTTCTTCAGATTCCATGCCCCTCCAATCCATTTTGCCTTTTTCCAGTCCAGTCCATCTGTTCTCCAAACACAGCCTGAGATCCCCCTAGGGAAAGCTTTTGCCTTCACCTATGCTGCCTGTGTGCATTTCAGGAGAGCTTTCAAAGCCCATTTAAGTTCCACCTCCTCCATGAAGGCTTCCATGAATTTTCCAGCTCCCAAATACCATCATCCTTCTCTGGCCTGTGTCAGGGGTTATACTACCCACACCAAATCAGACATTTCATCATGGCGGCCTTGCATTATCACCACCATCTCCTAACAAGACAGTCAGACCTGAATGCACGTTAGATACTCACTAGCATGTGACCTTGAGCAACTGAGCAGCTGGGCTAAGCCTCAATTTCCTCTGTAGCTCTCATTTATTAAGCTGTTGCTTTGCGTATTGTTGGTCGCAGGGCAGCCATGTACAGTAGCACAGGTTGTGCACTGCACTAATCCCAGGGACACTATTTATACACTGTACACAAAGGAGACTCTTAGCCCTAACAAAGGATTTTTCTTGAGAAGTACCATAGATAATATGGTTGTAAAGCTTACAGGATTCAGGTTTTAAGGGGCTCACTTTGTATGAACTTCTCTCCCTCATCCATTATCTCATGACCTTACCACCAGTGGGCAGGGAGGAAACTTGGACATGTAATCTCCAAACACAATTCAGCAAAGTACCAATAACACAAGATGATAAGTGGGGCCCTGGGATTGTCCTCACACTGCCCCTTTCTCACTCTCATGGCAAGGAATTCTTTTATCCCTCTGAGGCTCAGTTTCCTCAACTGTAAATTAGAATAGCAACACTATCTCAAGTCTGTCATAGGACTAAATGAAATAGTACAATGAGTCTCTGCCCTATCCACATACTGCTTGTCCTGTCATTTACCTGGTTTTCTCCCTCAAAATTGACTCCCTTTTTTTTTAGTTATATAATGGAATCATGTCTGTGAAATCATGAGTTTGGTATGCTGGCAATATTTTTCTAATTCCCTATAAAATACAAAAATGTTTTTTAAATTAGTACTTACTAGCATACTACCTAAAATCATTTCACACAGAAACACATGATAAACCTATCTCACTTTAAAATAGACAATAATAGTAATAGTGATAATAATGACATGTATAATGCCTTACTCTGCGCCAGACACTGTTCTAAAAGTTTTTCAGATAATAACTAATTTAACCTTCATGACACTATGATGCAAGCATTGTTATTAGCCCCCATTTTATAGATGAGGACATGGAAGCATACAGAAGTTAAGTAACTTATCCAAGGTAGAACAACTAAAAGACAATGGAGCCAAGACTCAAACCCAAGCAGGGTTCAGCTACAGAGTCCATGATTTTAGAACTGCACAATCAAGTCCACATCACCACCATTTACCTAGATTATAGTGTAAACAGTAGCTCCTGGATTTCTGCAAGGTACAACCTGCACTACTATACATGGCAGTCCTGAGACCAATAGTACATAAAGTAAGACCTCAATAAATGGTAGCCACACTACCAATAATGTTATTGCTCTTGTGGTTCATGTAATTGTCATCATGAACCCTGGTGACAGGGTCTTCAGGGAGAGAAGGGGATGTTACTCACCGATTATGCATCCCATAGCCCTGTGGCTGCACGCTGGCAGAGACAACCACCACCAGCCCAGGGATCCCGTAGCCAAAGACACAGAGGTGCAGCATCTTGATGTTGCGAGAGCTGAAGTAATTCACCACCTTCAGGTTCCTGACCATAAGAAAGAGCATCACAGCCTCCACCAGCATCCAGAAAAAGCAGGCGAGGAAAAGGTAATGAAGAAAGCCTGCGATGACGGCGCAGCCGATCTGGAGAAGAGAAGCAGATGCACTCAGGATCCTTACCCTGACCCTCGCCAAGGAGCAGATTCAGAGGAAGAGGGCAGGGGAGGAACTTCTTTGATTAGCATTCCCCAAACACAGTCCATTCATTCATTCCACAAATATTTATGGAGACATTCTTCACAGCAGGTCTTTTTGGTAGAATGCACAATTGTCATGGTTTGCCTGGGACTTAGTTTTCCCAGCACATTTGGCTATCAATACTAAAACTGGGACAATTTCGATGGGGTAGGGAATGGGTAGATGATAACTACTTAAGTGGAAGCTATGCAGGGAGTTTGTAGGGACAAGCAAAGGCAGATGTGCAGAAGATGTGGCTGGATTGGGGCATAGCCTGAAGGATCTGAGACCTGGTTGTCGGTTTTGTCTACACCAGTGAGGAAGAGAATCTTGGCCAAGAAGAGGCACACGCAGAGGTGCAGGTGAAGGTAGGTGTTGTGGTTACGAATGGCACGACACAGCAGGAAGGTGGCGATGGCCAAGATGAGACACACCAGGGAGATGATCATGCCCACATGGTTGATGATGTACAAAGAGAACTCCATCTGTCAGAAAAGAGATATGCCACTCAGGGACCAACATTTCCCCAACCAGGAAGAAGAATTATCCTGACTCCCGGCTTGGGCAAGAGATTAGGGACCTTTTCTCCCTCTGACACTCAGAGTAAATGAGATGTTGTCTGTCATCATTCTTTGGCATCTATTGGCATGCATCAGCACCCATTTCCATCCCATCTATTACTGGGCAAGATGTCTACAAACTACATTTTTCTAGTTTGGAACTAAGGTCCTGGATGTCATGTAGGTTCTCCAAGCAGATGTATGCATGAAAGTTTGGAAAGGCAGAATGGAGGCAGATACCAGCTTTCTACAGACAAGAGTGAGCTGTGGCTGAACTCCACATTCCAACTTTCCAGTCCTTAATTCCGTGAATGTGGGGTAGCCTGACAGCAACAATCTGACTTCTGAATTATACTGCAGAGGGGTGATGTTGAAGGCAAAATCCAAGTGGCAGCCCCATGACTTCAATTCCTCCACCCCTTCCAGCAATTTTGGGAGCACCCAGTTCCCTATGTTGAATCCCATTCTGCTTGAAATACCTAGAGTAGTTCCTGTCTCCTGCACTGAACCAGACCTGATGCATAGGCATTCAGAGACACCCAGCTTTTGGGAGTGAAAATGATGGGCTGAGTGCTTCCCCTCCACCATTATTCACGATTAATTTTTAATTAATTTTAACTTTACATGAGTGCTTTCTGTGTGTTAAAGATATATTATAGATATGCTAGGCACCACCTTATGAGTGTCTCTACAAACTGGGCTCAGGCTCAGAGGGGTTGAGTGACGTAACTAAGGAAACATAGCTAAAAGGTGATAGAGATGGGACTTGAAACTACATCAGTCTTTCTCCAGATCCAATTTTCTTAAGTCCTAAGCCTTACATACCTCTAAACAGCACTTAGATTCTCCTGGCAGAAAACTGAACCTCAGATCTGGCATGATTGGCAAGGATACTCACCACAGCATTAATGAGGATGTCTTTTCTCTCTACCAAATCTACCCACTCACCAAGGCCAACTTCAAACTATATTTCCTTCCTGATCTAGCACCAACTGTCATTGAAACACCTTTGAATTCCTACAGTACAGACTCTGGTTTAGTAGAAAGTGACCTCTGGAGCCAGACTATCCTGGGTTCAAATCCCACCTCCATCAACTACTAACTTCATGACTAGGCAGATTACTGAGCCTCAGTTTCCCATCCTATAAAATAGATCTAGAAAACACTTAACTTAAAATAAAGCATCCAGTACATAGTAGGGGCTCATTAAATAGAATCTATGATTTGTATCGTGCCTGCACCTGTTTAGGGTCATTTTTCATTTGATATATGACTGTCATAGTTTCCCAACCAGACCATGAATTCCTCAAGGGTTGAGGCATGGAGCATACCATTTCTGTCCCCATGAATCCCTCCCATGAGAGGCACACAACAGGATGTCTAGTCAATATCTTCCCATCTAATCTGGGGAACCAGAGCACAGAATATCAGTACTGACCGTGAGCTCCCCAGAAGCCATGATGATGGCCAGGTTCACCATTCGATTACAGCTGCAGACAGTATAGGTCTCAGAGACTTCACGGACCATGCAGCCAGACGGCGTCCACCTGCCGCCCCCCATGTCTGTGCTCCAGGAAACACAGATGGGCCTCTCAAACTTCTGCTTTGGCTGAAAATTCAAAGGCCCTGGTTACCTGAGAGTCCCTCTTGAATGGATTCAATGTGACCACTCAGGAGGCATTTGAGGCAAGAAGATGTGGGTATGTTATGTTCTATAGGGGAATGGAGACAAATGCTGATATTTCAACATGCAGTGATGAAAAGAAATGTCTTGAATGCCAGACCTATCTCTACCATTGACTTGGTCATAGCTAGGTGAATAAAATTCATGTCTGTGCCCCATATCAACATTGTTAATCTAACCTAAATCTTGCCATCAAGGAGTGAAAGGATACCACACAGAAGTAGAGGAGCTCATTCTTCTAGAATTGTCTTGAGTTGCTAGAAATTGTGGATGCTTGCTGCCTCAATAGGTCCTCATCAGAATGAGAGTTAAGCCTACTAGGGGATGGGATTGTCAATAGGTAGATGGGGACCCAGTGGAGACTTCACGAACCTCAATGTTTTCCACAGTGTAGATGACTGGGTCAGAGAACCCGCCTTTCTTCTCCCCTGTCATGATGCCCGCGACAACACGAGAATTCATCTTCAGCTTCCTCTTGGAGTTAGCCAAGGGATTCTGAGTGTCTTGGAAGAAGCTCTCATCCAAAACAGACTCCATACTTGCAAAGGAGACTAAAGCTACCCCAGTGGTCCCTACGAATTCCCCAAGTACCAAAAAAAAAAAAAAAGAAAAGAAAAAAGAAAAAGGAATCATTTGCTCAGTAGTTATTACAGATGACCCAGCATATATACACACATGCATACTTCAATGTCTCAAGCATCTCTGCACCTTCACTAGCCTGCTCTGAAGATTAAAACACCAGTGGACTTCTAGGTAAGTGACCCTCAGCAGAACCATAAAAAAAAAATCCTGAGGTGCTGTCAACTGGAGAATTCTGGACTACATTTAAAAATAAATTTGAATTTGTCTTTCTAAGAGATATTGACTCAGCAGTGGGAACTAAGTTCCCCTCCCACATTTCTGGTCTCATTCAGTCTCTTGGATACACCTCCCCTTCAATGTCAGTGGTCTCCAGGAGTCTGTCCTAAGCCTGCACCCTGTGCTCCAGAGAGCAAGTAGGTCAGGGGGAGTCAAACGATGGCCTCCCAGCCAATTGGGCCATTGCCTATTTTTTCCTTTTTTTGTAAACAAAAGTTATATAACGTAGCCACATGCATTCATTTATATATTATCTATGAACACTTTTCTACTTTGATGGCAGAGTTGAATAGCTGTGACAGAGATTGTATTGCTCTCAGTACCTAAAATATGTACTAATCTGCCCTCTACAGGAAAAGCTTGCCAACCCTCATACAGAGTAGCATGGTCTAGCGGAAATACAGTATGAGCCACATATGTAACTTAAAATTTTCTAGTAGCCATATTTCAGAAAAGTAAAAACAGGTAAATTTTAATAATTTCAACTCACATGCAAAATATTATCATTTCAACATGTCATCAGTATTAAAAATTATTAATGAGCTATCTTGCATCCTTTGTTTTTTGTACCAAGCCTTTGGAATCCAGTATGTATTTTACACTTACAGTCTAGCCACATTTCAAGTGTTCAATGAGCAAATATGGCCAGTGGCTGCTGAATTGGACATTGAAGGTCTTGATACTCCACTACTGTGAGATGATTTATTCAAAGTCTGACTTCTCTAGCAGATGGAAAGCTCCCTGAGGTCAGGGACTATTTCTGCCTTCATCATCACTGATTCCCTCACCACCTGGCACAGGTCTTGGCACCTAAGAGGTGATCGATTAATACTCCTGGTTGAATTTGCCCAAGCCACCCTCCTTGATTCTCATAAGCGAGTCTACACCTGTAGATTTAGATTCCTTAATTGTGGAACAGCCAATCTTCATCTCGTTCCCTCCGGCTTTCATGTTAAAGACCATGTTCTCTTCGGTGCACTCGTCCTCGATAACTTTGCTCTCAATATCTAAAAGGAGAAATGAAGACTTTGCATGATGTCACCCAGAAAGTGGGTCCTGAGTTTGGTTTCAGTCTGACACAGGTTCGCATTGCCGGCTGCAAGCCCAAGAAAGACTGGAAAGGGCAATTCATCCTGGGAGTGACCTTGAGCCCCTTCATGAATGATAGGCGGATGGTAGCACCTAAAAATGAGAAACCTGGTTGGAGCTTTACAGGTAAGCTCTCACATCTTAGGAGATGCATCAGTGAAAGATGGGGTTGATGTCAACAGTGATGGCAGGCGATAGTGTCATGGCCCTCGGGCAACTCCAAAGATAAACAAGATTTCCAAAGCCAAAGGAAATAGTAAGGTACTGGGACAAATCCAGCACAGTGGACAAGGGCTCACGTTCTATAGTCAGATGATGCCTGTGCTCTGCCACACACCAGCTGTGCAAACTTTAGCACTGTCTTAATCGCTCTGAGCATCACCTGTAATATGGCCTTAATTATAAAACTCTTCATTCGTTAAAACACAACAGATGATGGAACTAGAGGTGCCCTTTTAAAATATAAGCCAGATAATGCCATGCCCATTCTCAGACTCTTCAGTTCTGCCTCCATCTTACTTCAAATTAAATCCTATGTCCTTACATTTGTCTACAATGTCTTCCTCTCCTTTTCTTTTCTGACTCCTTCTCCTACAGATTTTACTGTCTCCTACTCCACTTCAGCCACATTGGCCTCCTCATCGTTCTCTGAATTCACCAAGTATTTCCACACTTGCTTCTTCTCCAATTATCTACAGGGCTCCCTTCCCTCAGGTCCCTGCCCCACTGAGACGTCCCCGAACCATATTGTGAGATAGCAATGCTCCCCTTAATCCCGACCCTTTCTAGCCTCCTCAGCCTACTGTTTATTCCCAATAGCACTAGTTTTATCTGGTATATCTGTTTATTGTCTTAGTCAACTGACTAAAATAAAAGATTCGTGAATTCAGCCAGTCTTGTTCACTGCTGGAGGCAGTCCACCAAATACTCTACTTCTACCTTTTGGCCTCCTGGGCACCCATCAGGATGGAACTTCCTAAGGTTATGTGACTTCTACTGTAACTGGTACCAGGAGTGGCATGCTGCCACAGAAGCCATAGAAGGTCTGCAGCGCCCAAGATCCCCAGGTGGTTACAGGCCATGCATGTTCAGGGTGGTGAGACCATGGCTGTATCAGTCAGGAGAGGGTCTGTCATGCAGCAGCAACAAACAAGCCCACATCTTAGTAGGTTAAAATAATAATTTTTTCCCACTAACACATTGATTGGGGACTGTGTTCTGTGTTATCCTTGCCCTGGAACCCACACAGATGGAGAAATTGTAATCTGAAACAGAGCCTATCACTAGGGCAAAGGGAAAGAAATCTCTAGAAGGTCCCACACTGGCAACTATTCCATTCACAACTCAACTGGAACTAGTCACAAAATCTCTCCTAACTCCAAGCCAGAAAGTACCATCCTACCATGGGCCAGAAGACAGAGCTGGAGATATTCGAACACAGCAAATGACTGTCACCTCTTAACACCTGGCATGGAGTCAACAAATATTTGGTGAGTGAATTAAAGACTCACTCCAAATGCAGTGCCTGGCCACACACCCTTAACACGGTGCCAGACACTCAATCATGGGAGATGTTATTAATATTAGACTTGCTTTGCTGTGAGTTTAGAGGTTTGAAACATTGGGGCAAATTGTAGATGGTAAAGCCTTGGAGAATAACATTGCCAAATTCACCCCTCAAAATCAGTCCCCAGGGTGACCTTGATGTGAAGGATATATCCTACCCAAGAATTCCGTCCGAATAGTCTGACTACTATTTGCTGAGGGTTTCAGAAAAGCTGCCAACACAGTGCTTTCCACGCTCTCCAGTAAGACTGTGCCCACGGTGGATGTCTCATCTTTGGTAAGGCTGGACCAGTTGGACAATTTTTCAATCACAGAGGCAAATTTCTCAGCCGTTCTCTGCAAAGAAAGAGCACGCGCGCTCTCTCCCTCCCTCTCTCTCTCTCTCTCTCTCTCTCTCTCTCTCTCTCTCTCTCTCTCTCTCTCTCTCTCTCATTCTCTCTTTCTGCCTCTCTGTCTCTGTCTCTCTCTTTGTATTTCTGTTTCTCTCTCTGTCTCCTACTCTCTCAGCCTCCGTGTCTTTCTTTATGTGTATGTTTCTACCCTGCCCCTCCACTCTCTGTCTCTCATCAGTGAAATAGCAGCTGTCCTCTCTCTCTCATCAAGAAAGTGGGTTGGCAGGCTAGACCGATGAAGAATAAAAAGACATCCACTTGGCCTCTTTTTCCCGAGTCAAGAGGCCCCATTAGGAAGGCAAATTGGTGCATCCTTCGCAGCATGAAAAAAGTCAGCACTTATAACAGTGTAAATTGCACATATCCTTTGACCCAGAAACTTCCCTTTCAGGAATTAATCTTCTCAGAAATACCTAAAAATTGTGCAAGGATCTTGTTCAGTGATGTTCATTTCAATATGGTTTGTGATAGCAAGAAGTCAGAGAGCCTTAATGTCCAACAGATTTGTTAAGTAAATGATGGAACCAAATCATAGGATAGTCTGCAAATATTAATAAAAGAATGATGTAGTACATCTACATGATTTAACAAGCAAAAAGGTCCAAGAGCTATTGCTAAGTAAAGCACATTACAAAATGACATGTATATATTATTTCATTTAGTTTAAAAACAATTACTTTAAAATTATATTTATGTTTCTGTTACAAAAAACAAAATAACAGTCTGAGCCTGGTATTGTTTTAAGTGTTATATATTAACTTATTTAATTTTAAGAAGAGATCTGTGAGGTACAGGCTATGATTTTTTCCATTTTTGGGTGGGGAAACAAGGACACATCTTGCAGAACCAAGCTTTGAATTTTGGGAGTCTGGAATCAGAGGCTGAATCCTTAATCACTGCTCTAAATCTGTTATAGTAGGTGCTCAATAAATGACTTCAATGTGCATGTGTGTATATGTCTGTGATACATGCACTCACAAAGCAAAAAGTTATGGAAAGATACACATCTAAATGCTAACAATGGTTATGTCTGAGGAATAGAGTTAAGAAAAAAATAGCAATAACAATAATAGCAATAGTAATATTGATACCATTCCTATTATTGATTGCTGTCAATAAATTAGCTATAAAATTTGACTATGACCCCAACAAAAAAAAATATGAAAAGAAGTCATAAACTAATAAGTGCAAGGAAGAAATTGATTGAATCCAGTCACACAGTGAAGGAAGTTAACTGAAACCTTAGCGAGGATACTAATTTCTATTTATCCAAATTAGGTGATGAAAAGATGAAACAAATTCAGCAAAAACTGAGTCAGGTGAAACTTGAGAGATGTTTGTCCAGGAGAAACAAGGTTCACTGTGCTCTGTAACCACTTCCATCTGAAAGGCAGGAGTTTGGTGCCCCTCTCCACCTACTTAGCAGAAAAATCTCAACTAGAACCGTCCTGGGAAAAGCAGCTGTTGAAATCGCATTAAAGCTCCCTGTAAAATATTAAACCTCTTCTTCACTGGGAAGGTTATTTTGTATCTTCAGAAAAGTAAAAAATTAATAAAATAAATTTAGCTTAGTTTTTAAATTTAATTTAGACAAACAAACTCAAGTTTAGGTTAAATTTAGGTTTTGTAAATTTTGGCATAATCTGGAAATCTGTTGTTTGAAGGGTTTGGGACAATTTGACACATTAGAGAAGCGATTCAATTATCCAATGACTTCATTGCAAAAAGCAATTAGACGTAATTTTAATATGAATGTTTATAAACAGCATAAATGAAACATTTTAAAAATATGAATTTTTATATTTACACATTTGATCGACTGGATTTGTGAACCCCTTAAGGGCCTAGTGACCTTGCCTTTTAGGTTTGCAAATTTCCTCATTAGGTACTTGAAATTTGGGGGGAAATAAGACTATTTGTAAATGTAGTATAAGATATTTGAGGAAATTTAACTAAATTTCTAAAAAGGTTAATTATTTATGAAAGTTTAATTTAAAAACCCTATGAATGCATGTACACTTCATGAACAAATGTTTTATATGAATAAATACTTTTAAATTAATGAAATTACAAATGAAAGTGCTATTCTTTTTGTATCAAAAAATATTTATAAATAAAATGACAAAATTCATTAGTCCAATGTAAAGACTTAAAAACTAGGCTTTAAATTTACAGTTATAGGGACCTAGTAATCCTACTCCTAGGTACATACCTAGAGAAATAAAAATTTGGGATCACACACACACGGACACAGACACACACACTGCACATGGATGTTAATAGCAGCTCTACTGATAATTGCCAAGAGCCAGGGTGGGGGTGGGGGATAAAGAGATGCTGTTCAATTGGAAACAATTCAAATATCCTTCAAAGATGATGCTTAAACCATCTATGGTCCATCCATCAATGGAATATTTCTCAGCCATGAAAAGGAAGGAAGCACTGACAGATGAACCTTGAATACATGATGCTCAGTGAGAGAAGCCAGACATGAAAGGCCACATGGTGTGTGATTCCATTTGTGTGAAATGTCCAGAACAGGCAAATCCACAAAGATAGAGAGTGGATTTGTAGTTGCCAGGGGCTGGAGAAGGGAAGAATAAGGAGAGCTGCTTATGTAGTTTCCTTTTGGGGTGGTGAGAATGTTCTGTAACTACAAGGGTGAGGGCTGCTCTACACTGTGAATGTACTAAATGTCACTAATGTTACTAAGAAAGAAAAGTTATGAGATTATTGATAAACACAACACTGACGACTCTCAAAGGCATTATTCTGAGTGAAAGAAGCCAGACTTAAAGGGCCACATACTGTGTGATTCCATTTATTTAATATTCTTTAAAAGACACAATTGTAATGATAGAACAGATCAGGGATTTACAGGGGCTAGTAGTGGAGGGAGTATGTGACTATAAAGGGACGTTCCAGGGAGATTGGGGAAAAATGGAACTGCTATGTATTCTCACTGTGGTGGTAGTTACACCAATCTATTCAGGTAGTGATAAAACTCATAAAATTGTACAGAAAAGGGTAATTTTACTGTATGTTAATGTTTAAAACTTTACAACTGTCATAAATTAAATGTTAAATCACAACTCATTAATTATAAAGAGAACTTTCTGCACCCAAAGTTTTCCCCCAAGATGTTCAAAATATGAAGTACAATTACAAAGACATCATGGTTACCTCCAGGGAAACGATGGTGGTATTCTTTGCACAGGCCCCATCCAGGATGCTGAAGGTGGCATTCATCAGTGCACAAAATGGAACCTGTACTCCAGGGAATAACATTAAAGAGCATTGGTTTATCTTTCCCCCAAGCATGCAATGTACAAATTGGGTCTCCAAGCCCACTACATGGGGTGGCCCTGAATTCCTGAGGTGTCCTAAAACTCTAGAATTCTCGGGGAAATAAAAATTAACCATTTTAGTTCCAGTCAAGATGGCAGAGTAGGTAAATGCTGTGCTTTCCTCCTCTCACAACCACATCAAAATTACAACTAAACTACAAAACAACCATCATTGGGAGTCGTCTGAGGTCTGGCTAAACAAAAGTCCTACAACTGGGCATGCACAGAGAAGGCCACTTTGAGACTAGTGAAAGGGGCAAAGATAAGAAACGGGCTGGTCCCACTCCCACATGTGGTGATTGAGAATCAAGAGAAATATCTCAGCTGTAGAGGTCTCCTCCAAGAGGAGCGAGGGGTCTGGTCCCACACCAAGCTCCCCAGCCCAGGGTTCCAGTGACAGAAAGAGAAGTCCTCACAACTTCAGCCTGTGAAAACTAGCAGAGACTGTGGCTGAGGGAGACAAAGAGCTGGGGGAATCCCAGTGATCCTCGTAAAGAGTCCATGCATGGACTTACTTGGTGACAGACTCACTTACTCTGAGCTCCAGCACTGGGGCAGCAGCTTGAAAGTCACCAGGGATACATAGAGAGGAACCGAGTTGTATGACTTCAGAGCGAGGGCTGGAGGGACAGCTCTCCCCCAGACAGAAATGCTGGCAGAGGCCATTTTTTATTTGTTGAGCTTCCCCACCCAGCTTGCAGACCCAGGAGGCCACCATACCTGAGTCTCTATCAATGTAGCTAACACTGGTCATCCTACTCTGAGACTCCTGTCCCTCCCAACTTGAGGGCCTGCCCAAGCCTCTTTTTCATACAAACGGCCTGTCTTGGCTCATGCTGTGGACATTCCTAAAATCTCTCAAAGGTTCGCAAAAACTAAACAAGTAGCATCTGGCCTCAGTGTGCCTCCATACCTCTTGCTGAGCAGCCCCAAACTCAACACAAGCACAGCTAACCTTGGTTTGCAGCTTAGCCTCTTGAGGCACTTTCAAGCCCAGCGTAGGTGGCAGCCATGTGCAGATTGCTTGGTGACTCTTGCCAGGTGGCCCTGGGCAAGGAACAGGCTGCAGCTGAACTTGGCCTTCAGCAGGGCCCATCCCAGGATGCCTTGGCCTACATGCCTGGTGGCCAGCTTCAGTCTGAGCTAAAGTACCACCCGGGGTCACATCTGAGGACAACACACCCAAAGGACATACAGGACAGGCACTAGAACCCTGTTAAAGTGAATACTACTCTGTAGGGTCAGCCCCTGTACAAGAGCTTCTCCACTGGCCACAGCCCGTCATCATAACCAATCAGCCGGAGGGTCAATCCCTCCCATTTATGAGCAAACAGCAACCAAGGCTCAACTACAACAGGACACAATACAACTCATACAAAGGACATACCTGGGGCCCCTAGTTCAAGTGACCAGGTAAGACTGCGCCACTAGGACCCACAGCACACCTACTACATAAGGCCACTCTACCAAGACTGGAAGACATAGCAGCCCTATCTAATACACAGAAACACACTCAAGTATGCAGTCAAAATTGGAAGACAAAGAAACACATCCCAAATGAAAGAACACAACAAAGCTCTAGTAAAAGAACTAAACAAAATGGAGAAAAGCAATCTACCAGATGCAGAGATTAAAGCATTTATTATAAGTATGCTCAATGAACTCAGGGGAAGAGTAGATGAATTCAGTGAGAACATTAGCAAAGAGTTGGAAAATATAAAAGCAGAGATAGAAAACATTAAAAAGAACCATGCAGAAATGAAGAATACAAGAACTGAAATGAAGAATACTTTAGGAGGAATTAACAGTAGATTATATGAAGCAGAGGATCCAGTCAGTGGTTTAAAGATAAGGCAGCAGAAAACACCCAATCAAAATAGCAAAAAGAAAAAAAAAAAAGAATCCAAAAAAAATGAGGAGAGTTTAAGGGTACCAACATTCACATCATGGGGTACCAGAAGAAGAGAGAGAGCAAGAAATAAAGATGGAAAACTTCTCTAATCTGGTGAAGGAAAGAGACATACATACCTAGGAAGTGCGGAGAGTCCCAAGAAAGAGGAACCCAAAGAGGCCCACACCAAGACACATCATAATTAAAATGCCAAAAGTTAAAGACAAAGGGATAATCTTAAAAGCAGCAAGAAAAAAGCAGTTAGTTACCCACAAGAGAGCTCCCATAAGACTGTGAGCTGATTTCTCAACAGAAACTTTGAGGACCAGAAAGGATTAGCAGGAAATATTCAAAGTGATGAAAAGTAAGGACCTACAACCAAGATGACTCTACCCAGCAAAGCTATCATTTAGAATAGAAGGACATTTTGTTAACCAATGTCGCCATTAAAAATTAATCAATTTTTTTAAAATTCAAAGAGAATGGATATTGCTAGAAGCCAAAATTAGTAAGTTAGAAAAACTTCACATAATTAAAAACTAAAAATTAAAAGATGTTTTACCCATCATGTTAGCAACTATTTGGATTACAAGCATTTTCTGGCTTGTAAATTGGTACAAATTTTTTAGAGTATAAGTTAGCAATGTTAATTTAAATTCAAAATATGCTGGATTTGGACCCAGAACTTCCATTTCTAGAAATTAATGCTGAACAGAGACAGACCCAAGAATATTTGTTGCACCATTTTTTTAAACTTGGAAACAGCCCACCTGACAATCAAGAAAGAAATAACTAACCAACATGCCTATAAATTTTCATATTCTACAGCAATTTAAAAGAATGGAGTACTGACCCCAAAAACGTGAAAGATTGCTAAGTGAAAGAAGCAAATTGTGTTCAGTTTCTAAAATTTTTAACATGTAGGAAAAAGTATGCTGTAAACTGTTGACAGTATCAGAGTTGGGTGTGTCATTCTATGCATTAGGTATGTCTATTGTGATTAGATTTTTGAAGCGTGCTTATTTTCATGAAAAATTACCTAAGATAATAAACTGAGGCCTTTATGTTCAGTAGTAAAATTAGGATATGGAACATCAAGAGTAGAAAAGGAATTTCCTAAAATCTTTCATAGAAGGGGAGAAAACCCAGATCACACAGAAGAAGAAAATCAATGCTGCATAGATTTCCAAACCGCAAGAAAACAACAAAGCTCTCTGGAAGGAACATAACCAGAAAACTATTAGTATCCAGAACTTCTAAAACTCAGATATTAATAAGAAAAAAAAGTAAGCCATGTAAAGAAGGGGAAAAAATGCCATAAGTACATGCAAAGACATACATTCTTACTAGTAAATGGAGAAATATAAATTAAACTACAGTAAGATACCATTCCACAGACATCAGATGTGGCATTCTTGGCAATACTTGACACTTTCCGCCTCTTAAAATGTTGAAGTATTTATTAAGAATGAAGATGCACATACCTTTGGCCCAGTAGTTCCACTCGAATAAATACCAAGAGAAAGCCTACATGTATATCAAGAGATTTGTAGAAATATGTTGCAGCCTTTTTTGTAATAGTGAAAAACTAAAAACAACCTGGAAGTCCAGTGACAGGAAAATGAATACATTACCGTCTTAGATTTGGTTTCTCCCCAAAGTAGATCTCAATACTAGAATTTAATGAAAGCAGTTTCTTTGGTAGATGACACTAAAAAGCACCAGCTGGTGTGCGGGAAAGTAAAACTGGGAAGATAAAGCCAGTTCAAGGTCAGTGAGCAGGTTCCCATTGGGTAACAAGCTCAATACTGCTGAGATACCCCTAGGAGGTGAAGGGGAAGAAAACGAGTATTTGTCCCCTACTCATCACTGGTTGGGGACTATTCCCAGGGTTGCCAATTTGCTGGCCTGTGTATGGGCAGAACATACTTCAGTTGCTAGCTATAGCCCCAGGTGTTTGTGTTAAGAAGCTGCTGGCAGGCACAGGAACAGTGCAAGCTAAACACCTAAAGCAATTCCATAGGTTTATGATTCTGTGTGTAAGATATTCATGCTTCTTATGTAATAAAAAGTATAAAGTCAAAAAAAAAAAGAATCAAAAGACAAATAGAGCTTCTGAGGCAACGAAATTAAAAAAAAAAAAAAAAAAAACCTAAAGGAATCATCACCACCAAGCCAGTACAATAGGAAATGTTAGAGGGGCTTCTTTAAGAAGAAGGAAAAGGAAAAAAAAAAATTTTTTTAACATGAATAATAAAATGGCAAAAACTACATATACAGCAACAATTACTTAAAATATAAATGGATTAAATGCTCCAATCAAAAGATAGCGTGGCTGAATGGATGAAAAAACAAGACCCTCACATATGCTGCCTATGAGAGACTCACTTCAAGTGACGTCAGAAATATGGCAGAGTGACAGATGTCCCCAGATCTCTCCCCTTGAAACAACAATAAGCTGAACATCTAAAACTCAACAAAAAATACCCAAACTGCACACCAGCATGTCTGAGCATGGGATCTGCGCATAAGAGCTACCACAGGACAGAACCCCAAGTATGGGATGGTGGACTGAGAGAAACAAAGAAGCTGCCTCTCACAGCCGCCAGAGCAACCTGCAGGGAGAGGAGAGGTGCTGCAAGTTCCCTGAACAGCCCTGCCTAGGAGAGCTGTGAGCTCCACGCGGCAGGTGGTAGGACCCAGTCATCAGGGCAGAAAGTAGAGAAGTGGGGACAGCAAAGAAGCAAGGATGGCAGAGAAATAACAGTTGATTTTTACAGCAGCAGTTACAAAACCAAGGCTGAGCCGCAGTTCCCAATCCCCAATCCAGAAAGACCCTCTCCCCATACTCTCAGACTGAAACCGCGTAGCGCCAAAGAAATGTGAGCAAACGCTACCAAAGCTGTTGTTAATACTCACAGGGACTGAGGAAAATGTCATTATTAAGGCTTTCTTAAAGCAGGGATCCAAGAGACCTTTCAGGCCACCTACTGGAAACCAAAGGAAAAACGCTTTCTTTGCAACAGGCT